GGTCGTATAGTCGGACTTACGATGTGTTGGGTCGTAGCTGGACTTAGGATGTGTTGGGTCGTATAGTCGGACTTAGGATGTGTTGGGTCGTAGCTGGACTTAGGATGTGTTGGGTCGTATAGTCGGACTTACGATGTGTTGGGTCGTAGTTGGACTTAGGATGTGTTGGGTCGTATAGTCGGACTTACGATGTGTTGGGTCGTAGCTGGACTTAGGATGTGTTGGGTCGTATAGTCGGACTTACGATGTGTTGGGTCGTAGCTGGACTTAGGATGTGTTGGGTCGTATAGTCGGACTTACGATGTGTTGGGTCGTAGCTGGACTTAGGATGTGTTGGGTCGTATAGTCGGACTTACGATGTGTTGGGTCGTAGCTGGACTTAGGATGTGTTGGGTCGTATAGTCGGACTTACGATGTGTTGGGTCGTAGCCGAACTTACGATGTGTTGGGTCGTAGCCGGACTTACGATGCGTTGGGTCGTAGCCGGACTTACGATATGTTGGGTCGTAGCCGGACTTACGATGTGTTGGGTCGTAGCCGGACTTATGATGTGTTTGTTCGTATTGTCGGACTTACGATGTGTTGGGTCGTAATCGGACTTACGATGTGTTGGGTCGTAGCCGGACTTACGATGTGTTGGGTCGTAGCCGGACTTACGATGTGTTGGGTCGTAGCCGGACTTACGATGTGTTGGGTCGTAGCCGGACTTTCGATGTGTTGGGTCGTAGCCGGACTTACGATGTGTTGGGTCGTAGCCGGACTTACGATGTGTTGGGTCGTAGCCGGACTTATGACGTGTTGGTTCGTATAGTCGGACTTACGATGTGTTGGGTCGTAATCGGACTTACGATGTGTTGGTCGTAGCCGGACTTACGATGTTGGGTCGTAGCCGGACTTACGATGTGTTGGTGAGTTAGACGCAGAAACTGACAACTGATGATGGTGTGGTCAGCTTGACTGGGAGAGTAAGATGTGAGCTTCGTATCATCCTTTGCAGATGACACAAAAATCAGTATGAAAATTACCTCGGCTGAAGACATTGAAAAACTTCAAGCTGATATTAATAAAGTTTTCGACTGGGCATCAGAAAATAACATGATGTTTAACAGTGTAAATTTCAGGTACTCAGGTACGGTAAAAATAAGGACCTTAAATATAATACAGAGTACAAAACACAATCAAATCTGCCCATAGTAGGAAAACAGCATGTCAAGGATTTGGGAATAATGATGTCCGACGATCTAACGTTTAAGGAGCATAACCAAGCAAATATTGCGTCAGCCAGAAAAATGAGCGGATGGATTACGAGAACTTTCAAATCCAGGGATCCCATCACAATGGTTGTACTCTTCAAGTCACTTGTGTTGTCCCGTCTTGAGTACTGCTCAGTACTCACTTCCCCCTTCAGAGCAGGAGAGATTGCTGAAATAAGAGGGAATACAGAGAACATATATGGCCCGCATAGACGAGATAAAGCACCTAAATTATTGGGATTGTCTCAAAGCTCTCCAAATGTACTCTCTAGAGAGGAGACGAGAGATACCAAATAATATACACATGGAAAATACTGGAGGGCCAAGTACCAAATCTACACAGTAAAATAACAACGAACTGGAGTGAACGATATGGAAGAAAATGCAGAATAGAACCAGTGAAGAGCAGAGGTGCCATAGGCACAATCAGAGAACACTGTATAAACATCAGAGGTCCGCGGTTGTTCAACGTCCTCCCAGCGAGCATAAGAAATTTTGCCGGAACAACCGTGGACATCTTCAAGAGGAAACTAGATTGTTTCCACCAAGAAGTGCCGGACCAACCGGGCTGTGGTGGGTATGTGGGCCTGCGGGCCGCTCCAAGCAACAGCCTGGTGGACCAAACTCTCACAAGTCAAGAACTCCCAGAACCACATCAAGCAGGTGTGAGGTGTCTCTGGTTGGCTCAGATGTGGGAGAGAGTAACCCTAGTCCCTACAAACCTAGTAGGGACTACTAGGTTTGTAGGGACTACAACCTCAGCGGCTGGCCCTGTGGGCCAGCCGCTGAGGGCCACCCCTGAGTACCACCCTGAGGGTCAGCCGCTGAGGGCCACCCCGAGGGCCACCCATGAGTACCACCCTGAGGGCCACCCTGAGGGCCAGCCATAGGGATGGCCCTCAGGCAAATTCAGGTCCCGTTAAAGCCACTAGAGATGGGGACCGTCAGGTAAATCCAGGCAAGTCACCAAACCAACGGGGTAAGGAGGCACCCAGAACACTGAGTGACCTTCATGTTTCCTCAGTGTTACCTTACAGTGTTACCTTACAGTGTTACCTTACAGTGTTTACCTTACAGTGTTACCTTACATTGTTACCTTACAGTGTTACCTTAGTGTTACCTTACAGTGTTACCTTACAGTGTTAACTTAGTGTTACCTTACAGTGTTACCTTACAGTGTTACCTGGCGTAAAGTCTCCCCAACACTATTGAACAGTAACCCTGCCTGTTCTCCAGGATGTTCTTCGTGTTCTTCACTTCCCGGGTTAACCAAACCCTTCAGCAAGCGAGGTAGTAACCCAACATTACGCCCGGGTGATATACACGGCTCCCATACACGGGCCTGGTGAGGGTTCGCACGCGTCTCACACAGGTAAAACATGTCACTTTTTAACGAAGTGGCAAATCGTGCCGAGATTCGTTTCAAGAATCAACAATGATATTCGTAAGTGATACAAGAGTAATTAATTTTTCGTGCGTGGGGGGGGGGGGGTTTATGGGGGGAGGTGGACCTCTAGCAAGGCTGTGTAGGCTCAGTTTAGGCTGTGTTAGGCTGTGTTGGGCTGTGTTGGGTAAGGTTATGTGGGCTTGAACACCCGTTGCCTCACACGCGGGGTTCGTCGCTGTTCAATGTTCACGTTGGTGGTGGCGCCCTCTGTGGTGTGTTCTTCACACTTGTCTCCGGCCCGGGCTCGTATCCCGGCGCTGCTCTACTCCCCTACTTGTGCTTGCGGGGGTTGAGCTCTGGCTCTTTGGTCCCGCCTCTCAACTGTCAATCAACTGGTGTACAGGTTCCTGAGCCTACTGGGCTCTATCATATCTACATTATAAACTGTGTATGGAGTCAGCCTCCACCACATCACTGCCTAATGCATTCCACCTGTTAACTACTCTGACACTGAAAAAGTTCTTTCTAACGTCCCTGTGGCTCATGTGGGTACTCAGTTTCCACCTGTGTCCCCTAGTGCGTGTGCCCCTTGTGTTAAAAAGTCTGTCTTTATCTACCCTATCAATTCCTCTGAGAATCTTCTGTGTGTTAATCATGTCCCCTCTAACTCTTGTGTCTCCCAGTGACGTGAGGTTTAATTCCCGTAGTCTCTCCTCGTAGCTCATACCCCTCAGTTCGGGTACTAGTCGGGTGGCAAACCTTTGAACCTTTTCCAGTTTAGTCTTATGCTTGACTAGATATGGACTCCATGCTGGGGCTGCATACTCCTGGATTGGTCTGACATATGTGTGTGTGTGTGTGTGTGTGTGTGTGTGTGTGTGTGTGTGTGTGTGTGTGTGTGCAGTTTGTTAAAGTGTTGGGGTAATTAACCCCGACCCCACAGAGGGGGTAATTAACCCCGACCCCACAGAGGGCGTCACAGCACCCCCACCCCACAGTGGGCGTCACAGCACCCCCACCCCACAGTGGGGGTCACAGCACCCCCACCCCACAGTGGGGGTCACAGCACCCCCACCCCACAGTGGGGGTCACAGCACCCCCACCCCACAGTGGGGGTCACAGCACCCCCACCCCACAGTGGGGGTCACAGCACCCCCACCCCACAGTGGGGGTCACAGCACCCCCACCCCACAGTGGGGGTCACAGCACCCCCACCCCACAGTGGGGGTCACAGCACCCCCACCCCACAGTGGGGGTCACAGCACCCCCACCCCACAGTGGGGGTCACAGCACCCCCACCCCACAGTGGGCGTCACAGCACCCCCACCCCACAGTGGGCGTCACAGCACCCCCACCCCACAGTGGGCGTCACAGCACCCCCACCCCACAGTGGGGGTCACAGCACCCCCACCCCACAGTGGGGGTCACAGCACCCCCACCCCACAGTGGGGGTCACAGCACCCCCACCCCACAGTGGGGGTCACAGCACCCCCACCCCACAGAGGGGGTCACAGCACCCCCACCCTACAGTGGGGGTCACAGCACCCCCACCCCACAGTGGGGGTCATATTGCCAACACCAACAGCTCTAAAAATCTGAATGTAACAAATGTGCAAAAAATAATTTATAATTCTGGTACTAATTCCGTCATAATAAACACATCTAATTCTAACGAAAAAATACATCTAATTCTAACGAATAAATACATCTAATTCTAACGAATAAACACATCTAATTCTAACGAATAAACACATCTAATTCTAACGAATAAACACATCTAATTCTAACGAATAAATACATCTAATTCTAACGAACTAACACATTTAATTCTAACAAACAAGACAAATCTAATTCTAACGAACACATCGTCAAATTCTAACGAACACATACATCTAATTCTAAGGAAGAGCATGGGGGGGGGGGGTTGATGAGAAAGTTTGAAATAGTTTAGATTCAACAAAAATTAGCATTTAAGACAATTTAGAAATCAACCAATTAATTAATCTGGTCAATAAAAACACTGTAGCGGTTTGGCTCAAAGTTCCAGCAACCAATAAAGTTTTTTGTAATAATAGTAATAAGTGCGTTTTATTACTAATAATTAAGTAATGAAACACTTAAGGAAAACTCCTAAGTGCATTGACTCAATAAATTGACGCATTTAACGCAATTCCGAATTAAACCAATTTATTAAACCTGGTTTAAATGAAATAAAATCCAGCCATTTCGCACGAATAAAAGAAATTTAGTTTTATGAAATAAAATACTATTAAAACCCCACAAAAACTCGATAATTAAGACGTCACAAAGTAGTTAAGTTTACCGACTACCAAGAAACTTGATCAAGACGTTCAACTTACCAGAAATAATAATTAAGACGGTAGTAAAGGGTCCGATAGTTGAGCAGTTAGCGTAGGCAACGACCCATCATGGCACTCTAACAACACCGCCTCTTACACTCCCTCAATGGGGTCGAGTAGCACTGTCTTTGCCCCGTGGGGGGGGGGGGGGGTTATGAGGGAGGGAGAGTGAGAGAGAGAGAGAGGGGGAGGGAGGAGAGAGAGAGCCAGCGATGGAAATACACGTGCGTCTCCCCACGCGGCCAGGCGACGACTGAGATAGGGAGTGACCGCTCTTCCCTCCCTCTCCTCCTCCTCCTCCCCCTCCCTCCCTCCCTCCCCTCCCTCAGTGACCTCACACCAACCTGAAGGAACACTGATGTTCCTTCTATCTGTATTATACTGCTGCCTCCCTCACTGTATTACACTGCTGGCTCCCTCACTGTATTACACTGCTGGCTCCCTCACTATATTACACTGCTGGCTCCCTCACTATATTACACTGCTGGCTCCCTCACTATATTACACTGCTGGCTCCCTCACTGTATTACACTGCTGGCTCCCTCACTGTATTACACTGCTGGCTCCCTCACTATATTACACTGCTGGCTCCCTCACTATATTACACTGCTGGCTCCCTCACTATATTACACTGCTGGCTCCCTCACTATATTACACTGCTGGCTCCCTCACTATATTATACTGCTGGCTCCCTCACTATATTACACTGCTGGCTCCCTCACTATATTACACTGCTGGCTCCCTCACTATATTACACTGCTGGCTCCCTCACTATATTACACTGCTGGCTCCCTCACTATATTACGCTGCTGGCTCCCTCACTATATTACACTGCTGGCTCCCTCACTATATTACACTGCTGGCTCCCTCACTATATTATACTGCTGGCTCCCTCACTATATTACACTGCTGGCTCCCTCACTATATTACACTGCTGGCTCCCTCACTATATTATACTGCTGGCTCCCTCACTATATTACACTGCTGGCTCCCTCACTATATTACACTGCTGGCTCCCTCACTATATTACACTGCTGGCTCCCTCACTATATTATACTGCTGGCTCCCTCACTATATTACACTGCTGGCTCCCTCACTATATTACACTGCTGGCTCCCTCACTATATTATACTGCTGGCTCCCTTACTATATTACACTGCTGGCTCCCTCACTATATTATACTGCTGGCTCCCTCACTATATTACACTGCTGGCTCCCTCACTATATTATACTGCTGGCTCCCTCACTATATTACACTGCTGGCTCCCTCACTATATTATACTGCTGCCTCCCTCACTATATTATACTGTTCCCTCCGTCACTATATTACACTGTTCCCTCCGTCACTATATTACACTGTTCCCTCCCTCACTATATTACACTGTTCCCTCCGTCACTATATTACACTGTTCCCTCCGTCACTATATTACACTGTTCCCTCCCTCACTATATTACACTGTTCCCTCCGTCACTATATTATACTGTTCCCTCCGTCACTATATTACACTGTTCCCTCCGTCACTACATTATACTGCTCCCTCCCTCACTATATTACACTGTTCCCTCCGTCACTATATTATACTGTTCCCTCCCTCACTATATTATACTGTTCCCTCCCTCACTATATTATATTGTTCCCTCCCTCACTATATTATACTGTTCCCTCCCTCACTATATTATACTGTTCCCTCCCTCACTATATTATACTGTTCCCTCCCTCACTATATTATACTGTTCCCTCCCTCACTATATTATACTGTTCCCTCCCTCACTATATTATACTGTTCCCTCCATCATTATATTATACTGTTCCCTCCCTCACTATATTATACTGTTCCCTCCCTCACTATATTATACTGTTCCCTCCATCATTATATTATACTGTTCCCTCCCTCACTATATTATACTGTTCCCTCCGTCACTATATTATACTGTTCCCTCCATCATTATATTATACTGCTCCCTTTATACCTGGTTGATACCTGGTTGATGGGGTTCTGGGAGTTGTTCTACTGCCCAAGCCCGGCCCGAGGCCAGGCTTGACTTGTGAGAGTTTGGTCCACCAGGCTGTTGCTTGGAGCGGCCCGCAGGCCCACATATACCTGGTTGATGGGGTTCTGGGAGTTGTTCTACTCCCCAAGCCCGGCCCGAGGCCAGGCTTGACTTGTGAGAGTTTGGTCCACCAGGCTGTTGCTTGGAGCGGCCCGCAGGCCCACATATACCTGGTTGATGGGGTTCTGGGAGTTGTTCTACTCCCCAAGCCCGGCCCGAGGCCAGGCTTGACTTGTGAGAGTTTGGTCCACCAGGCTGTTGCTTGGAGCGGCCCGCAGGCCCACATATACCTGGTTGATGGGGTTCTGGGAGTTGTTCTACTCCCCAAGCCCGGCCCGAGGCCAGGCTTGACTTGTGAGAGTTTGGTCCACCAGGCTGTTGCTTGGAGCGGCCCGCAGGCCCACATATACCTGGTTGATGGGGTTCTGGGAGTTGTTCTACTCCCCAAGCCCGGCCCGAGGCCAGGCTTGACTTGTGAGAGTTTGGTCCACCAGGCTGTTGCTTGGAGCGGCCCGCAGGCCCACATATACCTGGTTGATGGGGTTCTGGGAGTTCTTCTACTGCCCAAGCCCGGCCCGAGGCCAGGCTTGACTTGTGAGAGTTTGGTCCACCAGGCTGTTGCTTGGAGCGGCCCGCAGGCCCACATATACCTGGTTGATGGGGTTCTGGGAGTTCTTCTAATCCCCAAGCCTGGCCCGAGGCCGGGCTTGACTTGTGAGAGTTTGGTCCACTAGGCTGTTGCTTGGAACGGCCTCCAGGCCCACATATCCACCGTAACCCAGTTGGTCCGGCACTCCTTAGAGGAAACAATCTACTTTCCTCTTGAAGGTGTCCACTGTTGTTCTGGCAATATTTCTTATGATCACTGGGAGGGTGTTGAACAACCATGTCTGATGTGTTCTCTGATAGTGCCAATGGCATCCCTGCTCTTCACTGGTTCTATTCGGCATTTTCTTCCATATCGTTCACTCCAGTACGTTGTTATTTTACTGTGCAGATTTGGGACCTGTCCCTCCAGTATCTTCCAGGTGTATATTATTTGGTATCTCTCTCTCTTCTCCTTTCTAGTGAGTACATTTGGAGAGCTTTGAAACGATCCCAATAATTTAGGTGCTTTATCTCGTCTATGCATGCCGTATATGTTCTCTGTATTCCCTCTATTTCAGCAATCTCTCCTGCTCTAAAGGGGGAAGTGAGTAAGGAGCAGTACTAAAGACGGGACAACACAAGTGACTTGAGGAGTACAACCATTGTGATGGGATCCCTGGATTTGAAAGTTCTCGTAATCCATCCGATCATTTGTCTGGCTGACGCAATATTTGCTTGGTTATGCTCCTTAAACGTTAGGTCGTCGGACATCATTATTCCCAAATCCTTGACATGCTGTTTTCTTACTATGGGCAGATTCGATTGTGTTTTGTACCCTGTATTATGTTTAAGGTTCTCATTTTTGCCGTACCTGAGTACCTGGAATTTATCGCTGTTAAACATCATGTTATTTTCTACTGCCCAATCTAAAACTTTATCAATATCAGCTTGATGAAGACACTGAAAAACTACAGAGGCAATTTTAATGCTGATTTTTGTGTCATCTGCAAAGGACGACACGAAGCTGTGACTTGTATTTTTGTCTATATCTGATATGAGAATAAGGAACAGCAGCGGTGCCAGGACTGTACCTTGAGGTACAGAGCTTTTAACTGCGCTTGGACTCGATTTTATATGGTTGACTGTTACTCTGTGTGTTCTGTTCGACAGGAAATTGAGTATCCAGCGTCCTACTTTACCAGTTATTTCCATTTACCTCATTTTGTGTGTTATCACTCCATGGTCACATTTGTCGAATGCTTTTGCAAAATCTGTGTATCCCACATCTGCATTCAGTTTTTCTTCTAATGCCTCAGTGATTTTGTCGTAATGGTCAAGTAGCTGTGAGAGGCATAATTTTCCTGCTCTAAATCCATGTTGGCCTGGGTTGTGGAGGTCATTGGTCTCCATGTTGGCCTGGGTTGTGGAGGTCATTGGTCTCCATGTTGGCCTGGGTTGTGGAGGTCATTGGTCTCCATGTTGGCCTGGGTTGTGGAGGTCATTGGTCTCCATGAATCTAGTGACCTGACTCCTGATCACTCTCTCAAATACTTTTATTATGTGGGACGTAGGGCAACTGGTCTATAATTCTTTGCCAATGCTTTGCTCCCTCCCTTGTGTAGAGGGGCTATGTCTGCTACTTAAAGTGCGTCTGGTATCTCCCCCGTGTCCAAGCTCTTCCTCCACACTATACTGAGTGCCTGTGCTACTGGCACTTTGCATTTCTTTATATATATTGAATTCCATGAGTCTGGACCCGGGGCCGAGCGAATGGGCATATTGTCAATTTCCCTTTCAAAATCACTATATTACACTATTCCCTCCCTCACTGTATTATACTGCTCCTTCCCTTACTATAATACACTGTTTCCCCCTCACTATAATACACTGTTCCTTCCCTTACTATAATACACTGTTCCCTCCCTCACTACACCACACTATTCCCTCCCTCACTATAATACACTGTTCCCTCCCTCACTACACCACACTATTCCCTCCCTCACTACACCACACTGTTCCCTCCACAGATACCCTCCGCCACTAAGGGGTATACATGCCTAGTGACGACACCATCACTGTAACCAAGGGAGTGTGCCTAGAACGCAAATACTTCTCTTCCTAGAACTTCCTAGAATACTTCCTAGAACTTCCTAGAATACTTCCTAGAACTTCCTAGAATACTTCCTAGAATTTCCTAGAATACTTCCTAGAACTTCCTAGAATACTTCCTAGAACTTCCTAGAATACTTCCTAGAACTTCTCTCATCTGAAGATTTTTGTTCTGTCTATATCTGAATTAATTTTTTTTGTATTAATACATGAGGTACATGTGCATTAGTGCAGCTGCCCTAGACTATATGAAGTGGAGTACAGGGTGTCAAAAAAGCTAACTAGGTGATGCTAAAAAATCCCCATCACACAGGATGGTTAGTCATACAGAGGCATGTGATAAGCGGTCTGCACTGGCAGACTCCGGATGCATTTTGA